AGTGGTGGTGACAATGGTTGCTGCTGCTGCTGCTGCTGTACTCGGGCTGCAGGCTGTCGTAGCAGTGCTGCTGCGTGGATGTGGGCTGCTCGTAGTCGCGATTGCGGGTGTGTTGTGTTGGACCGCCACCACCCATCACGTTCGGGACATGATATGCTGGGGCGTGCTGCTTAGATTGGCCTGGCGTCAAATATGTGCGCTGGTCATCGGCAGGCTGAACGCTGTCGTAGCAGTTGTCAGCCACATTGCTGGCATCATCTTCTTGCAGATTGTCGTAGTGGTTGCTGGGATCAAGATCAAAGGCGGTTGCGTCCTCCTCGGGCAGCCAGGCCGGCTGCATGCCTGCTGGCTCCATCATGGCGTCGCCAACAAACAGCGGGTTGGTGGTGGACATGCTCGCCAGTGGAGGGGGAACACCCCGACCATACACGGGTGGATGAGATGGTGGTGCCGTGGTTGTCGTGTCGTGATGGCCGTCATGGCGGCCGCGGCGACGTCGAACAAAGAGGACAACAACGCTGATGAGGAGTGCACACCCGACGAGTGCGCCGCCAATGCCGGCACCAATGACAACGGGATCTGCAGCAGATGACGTGGACGATCGCTGGCGATTCGGAGGTGCAATGGTGAACACGGCAGACGTGGACGTGGTAGAGGTGGGCTGTGCTTGCTTGTGATGACGGCCCGTGGTGCCAATTGCAGCAGTAGTCGTTGTGGTTGTTCCTGCTGCCGCAGTGTACGGTGTCGTGGTGACAACGATGGGGGAAGCAGATGTGCTGGTTGTTGTTGTTGTGGTGGTGGTGGTGGTGGTGGTTGTAGTGATGGTGGTGGTGGGTGTTGTTGTTGTTGTTGTTGTTGTTGTTGTTGTTGTTGTTGTTGTTGTTGTTGTTGTTGTTGTTGTTGTTGTTGTTGTTGTTGTTGTTGTTGTTGTTGTTGTTGTTGTTGTGGTTGTGGTGGTAGTTGGGGCACAGGCCAGGTCACCCACGTCTGTCTCCACCAACCGCAAACCCCCTTCGCACACGCATGAAGAGTCCTGACACGCCGAAAACTCTGGGCATGCCGGCCGGTCACCGCACTTTGGGTGGTGGCAGTGGTGGGGGAAGGGAGGAGTGAGGAAAGGAGCGAGAGGAGGAGAGAGTGCCGATGCGTGAGCGCGCGCAGTTGAGAGATGCATTGCAGTGCAGTTCAGTGATGTGTTTGGTGAAACAACATGATATACGCGAGTGTCACAAGAACTCCAACGACACACACACACACACACACACACACACACACACACACACACACACACACACACACACCTGGCAGTGTCCGGTCTCTTCGTCAAACTCAAAGCCGGTGCGGCAGTCACACTTGTTCTCATTGGGGCCCGTGTTCATGCAGCTGTTGTTGTGGAGGTAGAGGGTAAATGATGCAGTGTGTGACGTGAGAGATGAAAACATTGGTGCTGGTGGTGGCAGTGGTGACTGCACATGTACGTACACGTACGCACACACGCACGCATTCAACGCACACAACAACACACAAGACACAGGCTCACATCTCTGTTGCTTGCAGACAGCCGCCGTAGTCCTCGTTGACGCATGGGTTGATCCAGATGCAGTCGCGCCCCGTCTCCGACGTGAATCCGTCCCTGCAGCTGCACTCGCGCTCGTTCGGGCCCGTCTTCATGCACCTGCAGCGAAGAGATGGGAGAGAGGATCAGATGATGTGTTGAGGTGATGGTGATGGTGAGAGGAACGGCAGGAGGTGGTGTGCAAGTGGGAGTGTCACAAAGGACGCTGGCATGTCGAAAGCACACAATTATGGAGCACAAGGCACCGCGTCACATTAAACGCACAAGGTGGTGCTTGCATTGCCGCAGCCTCCGTTGTCGGTGACACACGGGTCAATCTCCTGTAACGTCGACAGTGGTGATGGTGGGGGTGTAAGCACGAAGCGTGAGCGAATGTGATGCAAGGAGCAGTGTTGTTGGGACGAGAGGCAACAACAATGAGCGATGGAGCACAAGTGTACACACACACACGCGCACACACACACACACGCACGCACACACACACACACACACACACACACACACACACACACACACACACACAGCTGCCACTCAACGGCTGCACCGACAACCCACCACACAGTTTGCTCCGTCGTTGGAGGTACTCCTGAAGCCAGCGTCGCACGTGCACCTGCGCGTGCCTGGTCCCGTGTGATCGCATTGGGAGTTGGAACCACACCCGCCGTTGTTCGTGTCGCACGGGTTGATGGGCGAGCAGTTCTGTGGATGAACATTGTGTGCGTGTGTGTGTGTGTGTGTGGATGTGTGTGTGTGTGTGAGAAAGAGAGAGAGAGAGTGTGTGTGTGTGTGTGTGTGTGTCTCGAGGTCGGCGTGGTTGCAGATGCGTCGGCGGAACATGTGGTGCGACCCACCGTCTGGGCGCTGTCATCGGACTCGTACCCTTGCTCGCACAGGCACGTGTATGTGCCGGGACCTGCAGGGGCAGGGGAAGTAGGCAGATGAGGGTGAGACAGCAGTGAGGAGACGAGAGTGAGGAAACGGGGTGTGGATCAAGCTTGGCATGAACCAGACACGTTTCCACCTGCACGCACAAACATACACCACATACACACACTCTCTCTCTGACGCACGCATGCACACACGCAAACAGCACCTGTTGGAGAGCACTTGGAGTTGTCGCCGCATGGGCCTGGTGTCTGTTCGCAGCGGTTGATGGGCGTGCACTTATCTGTGGGCGAGTCGTGCTCGTATCCACTCGCGCACAGGCACGTGTACTTGCCAGCTGTACCATGGGACGTGGGGGATAAAGAGTAGAGGAAACAGTAGATAGGGATTGAATCATGTGAGATGAGGTGCGTTGCAAAATGGGTGCACAGCTTTGATGCACACGCACACACACACACACACACACACACACACACACACACACACACACACACGCACGCACACACATACACACACACACACACACACATACACACACACACACACACACTGACTTACGTCCGGCAAATTCACAAGTCGCGTTGTCGCCGCAGATGCCTTCGTTCTCCATGCACGGGTTAATCTGCATGCACTCGTCGTCCGTCGCCTTGTGGCCGTCTGGACATGGCGTGCACTTGAACCTGTTTGGTCCTACGTATTCGCAGATGGTGTTGTTGCCGTCGCATGTGTCCGTGTTCAGCTCGCATCTGTCGATGGGCCTGCAGTTCTTGTTGTCGGCTGTCGACGAGGAGTAGCCATCCTCGCACGTGCACCTGTACGTGCCTGGTCCCGTCATGGAGCACTGGGAGTTCCTGCCACAGATGTTGGGGTTGTCGCTGCACGGGTTGATGGCGGCACATGAGGTGGAGGTCCTGCGGCGGTAGCCAGACTTGCAGTCGCACTCGGCCGTGCCTGGCCCAGTCTTGCGGCACCTGTTGTGAAAGGAAACAGAAGATAAGAAGACAGGACGCGTGGTGGTGGTGGTGGTGGTGGTGGTGAAGTACAGGGGAGGGGGCGAATGGAAGGACACAATATGACGTGCGTGAACCAGAGCACAAGAGGCAGCCGCGTTGCGTCGCGCAAAGCGCTTCTTCTCTGTTGGACAGAGAAATACATGCGAGTCAACCCTCCTTCGGTCTTGCTCCTGTTGTTTCATGCATCGCATCAGCAGCTTACGTGGTGGAGGAGAGGTCGCAACCTTTGACGTTGTTGGTGCAGATGTTGCGTTCTTTGCAACGCCGTGCATCAACATAGGTGTACCCGCTCTTGCAGGAGCACCTGCAAAGGGGGAGGGGGAGCACAGTGGGTGATGGGCACGGTGAGGGTTTGAGAGAGCATGTGAATTGGTGGGGTAGATGGTAGTGTAAGAAGGAACAGGACAAGCAAACAACTGAGTTGGGCAACTGCGTGGCTTGGTGGTTGGCGGTGGTCGGGTACAACATCAGTGACGCACGTTGCGCTGTTGTCGGAGCGGCAGGAACATGTGGTCGAGGTCGCATCGCAATACGACGTTGAACACAGGTTGGCTGTAGGGAAATGTGCGGGGAAGGGGTGAGTGGATGAGGTGGGTGCAAGGGTGAGGAGGATGCCAGAGTTGAGGGACAAGGGGTTGTCTTCCTGACAGGACAAACGTCAACACGTCGGTGCTTACTTGGGGTGTATTCGAGAGTAAAGTCAAAGGTGGTCGTGCCAATTTTGATCCGGATGTTGAACGACCAAACTGTTGTGTATGCGGCTTGGCGAAGCGTGTAAGAAGTTGTCTGCTTGTTGCATCCGCTGAACGAGAAGTCAAACGTGTCTTCGGCAATCTGTGGTGCGAATGGTACGTGCCCAAGTGTAAGTATTGATACCATCCATGCCGATGAAATACTGAACAATACCAGGGAAGTACCTAAAATGTTAAGCTTACCAAGTCACCGCCAAAAAAGTCACCATCCCACATTTGCACTCGCACCGTTCCCTGTCGCACAATGCAGCAGCAACGCAGGATGATGACACGATGTTAGAGTTAGTCAACATGAATGGGGCTCAGACCCATGATCCGCCCGCAAACATGCACACTGGCGCCCGGCACTTGCTTCAGCACACTCACCGAGGGCCTAATGTCCGTTCGCCCAAAGTCCAGCCACTGGTTCCATGTTGGACTGTTGCTCTCAATCTCTCTTGTCTTGATGTAGTCTGTGACACCTTCCACTCGAAACCTGACATACACATCCGCGTCGCTGAAGTAGTCCACATGTGATGGCACGCTGGCGCTCTTGGCGTACACCCTGACTCTTCCAGCCTCCACGCACCGGATGCCACACACTAACACCACTGCCAATGCCGTCAGCGCGACGATGGTGACCCCTTGCTGTCGCATGGCTTTCGTAGGTCGTCGTGGCACTCCCTGGCTGGGATCCTTCAGCTTCTTCGTTCGTGGTTGTCGTGCCTGCAGGCAGTCGTGCTTGTAGACACAAGGACACAGGAGCAAAATGCCCACGAAACAAAGCATCACGCTATGGGAAAAGTCAGCCGGCAGAAAACACACAAACCGTGTCGACTGATTTCAGTCTACAACGACTGATTTCAGTGTCACAGCAAAAAGATGGCGGACGTTGATGAGGATGGCTGGCTGAGCGTGAGCAGCAAGAAGAACAAGAACAAGAAGGGCAAGAAGAAGCATGGGAAGCAAGGTGTGAGGAGGAAACAGGGCCGGCCTGACGCCACGAGCACGACGACAGTGGCACAGTACGTTTGTGTTCATTGCGGTGCGTTGTGTTGAAATTTGACGCTGACGACGTGTGGGCGGTGTTGCTGCGCTGCACCTTTATCGCACCCCCTCGCGTCACAACACACGCACACACGCAAATATGCAGGACGGTGGTTGGCAGTGGCGATGAGCCTTTTAGCCTGGAGGTAGTGCGGTCGTGTCTCTCCCGGCTTGTAAAAGAGCGCAGTGAGGTGTCAGACACCATTGCATCCATCGTCGGTAAGGGGACGTGCTTGTGTGTGTGTGTAATTGTGTGTGTGATTGTGTGTGTGTGTGATTGTGTGATTGTGTGTGATTGTGTGTGTGTGTGTGATTGTGCGTGTATGTGTGCGTGTATGTGTGTGTGTGAACTGACTTCACTCCATTTCTTTTCCAATTTCTGGCTTGCTGTTCCCCCCTTCACACTCATCCCTCACCCATCCTTCCCTCCCTCACCCATCACCTTCCTCACCCCATTGCCTCACCCACTCACTGGCGAAGAGGTGGTGCGGGCTAAAGCACCGAAGATGACGCGTGTAGAGCAGCTGGTGGTGCTTGGATTGGGCGGGTTTCTGACGAGCAAAAGTGCGCGGGCGCAGCTGCTGACGGCGAAAGCGCTGGCCTCTGCACTTGCATGTGACAGGGTCGTGTGTTTCGACCCGTGCTTCAACATCAACGAGGTGGCGGCGCTGCACGTGATGGGGATCGAGGTGCTGCAGGAGAACACGGTCGGCTACATGGCCCTGGACCGGCCCACGCTGCTGTTCATGCCGCATTGCCCGATGGCCCTCTACGAGAACATGCTCCGCGCAAACACCAGACCTCACACAGCCGGCTCCGAGGGGAGTCCGGGCAGCAGCAGCGACACGAAGCGCCGAGGCGATGGTGGTGGGAATCTTGCTGCGCCTGCACATGCTACGAAGACAGCAACAGGCACAGCGAAAGAAGGAAAGACGGAGAAGAAGGAGAAGAAGGACAAGAAGGAGAAGAAGGAGAAGAAGGAGAAGAAGGAGAAGAAGAAGCAGCAGCAGCAGGAGCAGGAGCAGTGGTTGATGGCAGGCAATGTGGCCGGCTTGTTGGGGAACGACCTGCGTGGCTATGTGGAGCGATCCGTCAATGCAGCTGAGGTGGAGGCGACGTTTCCGTTTTTGTGTCATTACGCCAGGCCTCCAACGGCCATTACCGCATATGCTTTACCCAAGGATGCCACACAGACAGAACTGGTATGTGTGTGTGTGTGTGTGTGTGTGTGTGTGTGTGTGTGTGTGTGTGTGTGTGTGTGTGTGTGTGTGGGGCTGTCGTTCCTCCTCCGTCTCCTCGTCTCTTCGTCTCGCAAATTCTGCTGGTTGGGACCCTGTTCCTCGTTTGCGTTCCTGTCACACTTGTTCACACACACACACACACACATACACTTTGCAGATGGCGTTTGGGGATCTGGCGTTGCACTCATTCCCTGGTGTACACAGACCACGTACGAAACAAGAAGGAGGAGAGCAACGAAAAGAACAACCACCACCACCACCACCGATGGCACACTTGCCACCTGGTGTGGATGCCGCCGCTTGCCCTCCTCGCCTCTCGTCCTCACAGCGCTCGGCTTTGTCATCCGTGCAATCGCGCCAGCAGACTGGGTTGTATTGAAATGATTGCAGCCAGGCAAGGCTTTAACAAGAAACACAACGAGCAGTTGGCATGGCATGACGTGACACGAATGTGAGACAGTGAGTTGACACAGACACAGGCTGAGACAATGTCACACACAGACAGACAGACAGACAGACAGACAGACAGACAGACAGACAGACAGACACACACACACACACACACACACACACACACACACACACCCACACACACACACACAGGGTTGCGACACACGACACATAGAAACCACCAAACGAAATTTTTATTTATTTTTTTTCTCCCGCGAAATTTGAAAAGCGCAAGAGTCAGAAACACGAGAGACACAGACACAGACAAGACAGACTACGCGCTGCGAAGACAACTCACAGCCATGACAAACTACCCATACCAGCTGGCCATCGAGCAGGGCGTAAGCGTGTGTGCGTGTGTGCATGCATGTGTGTGTGTGTGTGTGTGTGTGTGTGTGTGTGTGTGTGTGTACGTGTGTGCGTGTGTGTGTGCGTGTGCGCGCGTGTGTTGTATCCCGCGCGCGAGTCTGCATGCGTTTGTGTGATATGACATCGATTGTGTTTGTGTTGGAACGCAGGAGGCCAGCTGGCCCGTGGCTCAGAGCGCACCTTTGTACGCGTACAAGTCCTTGGTGCGACGGGTGGCCATCGCCTTTCCCTCACCTCACCCTTACCGTCTCAAAATCAGGGTGCGCGAATGACTGCACGTGTGTGTGTGTGTGTCTGTGTGTGTGTGTGTGTGTATGTGTTTGTCTTCTCTCCCTCTCCCTCTCCCTCTCCCTCCTCTCTCTGCTTTGTGCATACACGAACGGTCTTTGTGAACACTCGCGCTGCCCCACGTCAAGGACTTGAATCTCATTACATACCCATCCTTGTGTCCACCCTTTCAGGTTCCATTGACGAGGAAAGAGGTGGAGGATCGTCTGACGGCCATTGGCGAGATTGACGAAGAGGCGCCCCTGCAGCAGAAGCGACGGTATCATGCACAGACATTCGAGGAAGCGGGCGATTTGCTGGCATTATCAACACAAGAGCCTTCACCTGATGTTCCTTCGAATCCTCACATTGAGATTACCGCACACACACACACTCATTCTCACACACACTCACTCTCCCACACACACACACACACACACACACACACGCACACACACTCCACAGGGGCCACTATGTTCCCTCACTGGTTGACGTGGGCCGCATCTACAACTCCCAGCACAACACGCGAATGGTATGTTGAGTTGCTCTGAGAGTGGAGGTACATGTGCACATGTGCCTGCTTGCACATGCAAGGCACGTTCGTGTCCTGGGTCTGTGTTTTTCATTCATCTGTGTCGACCACGACTCATCTATGCGTCCGTTCGTTTTCTCGGTTGTGTTTTCCATGCTAGCACCACCGTGCACACGTGCTTGCATCAGCACCAACAAGTCAACAGCAGCAGGAGCTGGAGGAAGATGCGGTAGCAATGGAGGCACAGCAAGTTGGGCCGAAAAAGCTCGCTGATGATGACGATGACGAAGGGGTGCAGGATGCATCCGCACACGACACCCCGACCAAGCAGGCGCCCAAGGAATCATCAGAACAGATGGCGGTGAGGTGAATATTGTTGGGAGCGGGGAACGAAACAGGAGGGGCGCTGCGCGCGAGTGATGAGTGCATTTGGGCTGTGTGCGTGCGTGTTTGGTGAAGGAATTGATCTTTCTTCACAAGCATCACCATTTCAAATCACTTTGCTCGACCTTGATGAACACACGGGTCACGCCTATATCCTGTTCCATCTCAACCATCAGCCTCGTGTCATCATTGCAACCGTATGTTCCTTTGTGTTTCCACACTGTGCAGGCGCTGCAAGCCGAGCTTGACCGACTCAAGCGAATGATTGCAGACGTTGTTGTGCAGCAGGAGCAGATGGCACAGCAGACACCACGCCATCCCTCCACACCATCAATGTCCACAACAGCACCACCACCACCACCGCCCCCACTTCCATTCGTCGCGGGTTCGGGTGCGCCACCACCACCGCCGCCTCCGCCACCACCGCCTGGCCTGCTCGATGCGAAGCAGAAGCCAAGCATCCAGGAAATTATCCGTGCAGTGAGTCAACTGCACACGTGTTATGCTGTGTCGTGTTGTGTGTGTATGTGTGTGTACATGTGTGCCTGCTGACGTGCAGTGTCGTGTGCTCGTGTGTATATGTGTGCCTGCGCTTGCCTCTTCAACTGCCCGCGCCGTCTCCTTCCAGTTCCCTTGCCCTTGTTCACAACACTCTTGCTCACAACATCCTTGCTCACAATTCTCTTGTTCACGTGCTCGACACAGAACAAAAAGGGACAGAAGGTTCCGTATGAGAAGGACAAGCGACCAAGCATGGCCGATGTGTTGAAGGACTTGGGCACTGTTAAGCTGCGCTCGGTTCAGCGCTCGCCAGGCGGCACACCCATCGCATCACGCAAGCGCGAGTCGATGCCTGCAACCAACGATCCCGCTGCGCTGATTGCGGCCGCGCTGAAGAAGAAGTTTGCCCAGCGGCGCAAGGCGATGCGTGAGGACGAGGAAGAGGAAGATGATGAGGACTGGGCCGACAAGGAAAACGAAATTATCGCACGACGCAAGACCAAGGCGGCAGCAGCAAAGGAGGTGCGTCCATGTGTTATTGTTGTTGTTGTTGTTGTTGTGCGCGCGTGTGTGTGCGAGTGTGCGAGAGTGTGCACATGTGTGTGAGTGTGTGATTGCGTGAATGTGTGATTGTGGGATTGTGTGATTGTGTGTGGGATTGTGTGTGTGTGGGATTGTGTGAGTGTTAGTGAGTGATTGTGTGTGCGCGTGTCTTGTGTGCGAGCATATGCACGGCGCCGACACTCGACATTCAGTTGAGGTTGTTCTCTCCTCCTCCATGTGCATGACACAATTCCTCACGCCTCCCCTTCCACGCCGTGTTTGTGACCACACCCCCTTCCACCCCTCATCATCATTGTCATCAGCAGCAGCCTGCGTTTGGGCGCCACCTCCTGAAGAAGACCAACACACCTGTTGCGCAGGAGTGAACACATTCACGGTGATGGCGTTCGCATGCATGGGTGTTGCCTAAGGTTGCTTGCACGTTTGCGTCTGCATTCTTGTTGTTGTTGTGTGTGCGTATATGCGTATGTGCGCATGTGCGTATGTGCGTATGTGCGTATGTGAATGCCCTGTCTTCCTCCTCTTCCTTTTTCTCTCTCTCGTGTGTGTCGTTGTTGCTTTTTCTCTCCTCTCCAGAAAGGTCATTCCAATACACACATGCATCAGTTTCATCCCGAATTGCGTTTGTGGTGGTGTTCGTTGGCTTGTTATTGTGACGGGAATAAATCAGACACAACAGCAGTGAGGGTGAGGGCGGGGGGGGATAGTGAAAAGAACACACACACACACACACACTGCCTTGTTGGTTGAAATATGGAACTCAAATAGAAAAGGAAGCGAATGAGGCAACGATCAGGTGTGTGGACACAGACAGACAGACAACCAGAACGACACATGAACAAAAGTGAAACAGAAGGAGGTGGAAGAAGGGAGGAAGAGGCGGGAAAGAAGATGCGACAAGGCGAGGAGGAGGTGGAAGAAGGAAGAAGAGTTATCCGAGCTTTGCAATCTCCTTTGAGTAAAACTCCTGGCTGACGACCTTCTTTCGCCCATTGGCCATATGCACCACTGCAAACATACACCAATTGCATGTGGAGACGGAGAAGGTGGCGTCGTGTGATGATGCAGTGCCAAGTGTGAGATGTTTCGAGCAAGTGGGTTGGAGGCGGGAGCAGAGGTGAACCGACGTCGTCTCTTGTGGACACGGCATGCACACAGACACAGACACACAACGCACGGTTGTCGATGGGTGCGCGTGCTCCATAGAGGGAAGATGAACGGACAGGGAAGGCCCGCTCGCGCTCCTGCGACGCAAAGGACAAGTGCGTGTGTGTGTCGTGTTGTGTGTTGACTACAGGTGAGAGTGGGAGGGTGTGTGTGAACAGGCGCGCAGGTGGCTGTGAAGGCGCAGCAGGCCAGCGACATGTGTGGAATTGGGGTCAGACGCTGTTCCTCTCTGTCTGGTGTTTGCGGTGGTCGCACCTCCTTGTGGATATCAAGGCCGACGCGGGACTGGCGGTCTGGCACGTGCCATGCGAGCACCCGTGTTGGTGGTGGTGGTGGTGGTGCGTGTAAGAGGGTGAGTGCAAGGAAGACATGAACATAGGATAAGGAAGACATGAACATAGGATAAGGCAGACAAACGTTTCGCGAACACACGAGTGTGTATGCACGCAAACTCACACACAGACGCATTCACGCATTCAAATAGACACACACACACACACACAGACAGACGCACACACATCCACACAGACGCACACACACACACACACACACACACACCGTCGCGGTGGAGTTTGCTGGACTTGTCCTGTTCTGGGACGTGCATCTGGCGGTCGTACATGGTCTCCGAGAGCGTCTTTGTCGCCTTTCAATACGAGCAGGTCATGCCGAAACAAGAAAAGCAGCACGAGCACCTCCATTAGACATGCAGACAGAGAGAGAGGGACACACAACACAGAAAACACAGAAACGGGTGCGCATGGGCTGTCGTCGTGTGCATGTGTGTGTGTGCGTGTGTGTATGTGTGTGTGCGTGCGTGCGCACAAATGCATCCACTCACCAGCTTGTTGGGGGATCCGAAGAAGCCTGTGTGGCCCTTCTCCAGCAATTCCTTCTTCTCCTTCAGCTGCATCATCGATCACAGCACACACGCAACCACGTTAACCATTACGAAAAGAGACACAGGAACAGAATCGGTAATGATCACGGCAAAAGACACACCCAGAGAGAGGGGAAGAGAGACACAGACGCAGACACACAGACACACAAACACACACACACACACACATACACGCACACACACACCTGCTTGGCAGCTTCCTTCTCCATCTTGAAGTCGGGTGCGAGCGCCATGTTGACTGTGAGTCGTGTGTCTGTGTCTGTAATCTGTTGCTGTTGTTGTTTGATACATAACAATACATACTCACAAGCATGTGAGGCACGGCAATGGCGCATGGTTGTGTAGCTGCCACTGCACACCCTCCTCACCACACACATGCAATCCAATCCAATCCAACCCATCCAACCCATGCCAACCAAACACCCATCATCACCACCACCACTGACCAACTGCTTGTTGTTGTCCTCTTGGAAACGAAAAAAAAAAAACGCGCATTTCGTGTTTTGATTTCACTGACACTGTGACACATATCGGCAGTGGATTGCGACCCCACACACGACACACACGGCCTTGCTTCCAGTGTTACCAGCCGTCGTCGCCTCTGCTGCTTCCATCCGAACGGTCCACGATGGTCCTCGGGGTGTGGGGTTGTACTGCCGCTGCTTTTGGCGTGCAGGTTGTCGCTGGCGCAGTCGCCGTCGCCCTGCAAACGGAGGTGTGTGTGTGTGTGTGTGTGCGTGTGTGTGTGTGTGTTTGTTGTTTGTTTGTATGTCAGCATGTTCGCATGTTTGTATGTTTACATGCGTGGCGGCTGTTTCCGCGAAAGAAGCGTCATGCTGCTGTGGTTGCTGTCCAACTGTCCCTCACTAACGCTCCTCTTTTTGTCTCTCATGCGTCCACGCAGAAATTCTTTGACTTGGTCGGCTCCTTGACCTACGCCCTTCTTGTCTACCTCACTTATCCGTACGTTCACGCATTTGCTTATTCGCCAGACACGCCATCCACTGACTCACACTTGCAATGGTGCAAGTGCACCGAAAATACGGTGCCGTTATTGACTCAGGCACATGTGTACACACACACACGTGCGTACACACACACACACACACACACACACTCATACACACACTCACACACACACGTGCACACACACATACACTCCTACACACACTCACACACAAACACACGCACACACGTACACTCATACACCTACGCACGCTGTAGGGGCGTGGGTGCTGCTTCGGTGCAAGCCACACTTGTGAGCGGCGCTGTGCTGCTTTGCCGCGTGTACCTGTCGGGATTCCTCTTCTACCGCGTGCTGCACCACAACGGCGACCGCCGCTTCGCCAAGGTCAAGAAGAACCCAAAGCGGTTCTTCTTCTTCTGGATCATGCAGGGCCTGTGGACCATCGTCACCTTTCTGCCCGTCATCTTCGTCAACACAGCCACAACGAGCACGAGCGACGCACAGCTGCAGCCCATCGACATGCTCGGGCTGGTTGTGTTTGCTGTTGGCCTTGTCATCGAGGTGGTGGCAGACGTGCAGAAGTTCTCCTTCCGCTCTCACGCTGCAAACGCAGACAAGTTCATCACCACGGGTCTCTGGAGCATCTCCCGCCATCCAAACTGTGCGCTGTTGTTGTTGTTGTTGGGTGCATGTGTTGTGTGTTCGTGTACATGATCCTGTGCACGCTTTTCATTGTTTGCTTGGTTGGAACATCATGCGTGCTAGTGAGCTGAGCGTTGTGTCCTGTGTCTTCCTTCGCGTGGCACAACAGCATTGCTTGCCTGAGCTCGCACACAGTTGCTTCCTACTGTGCCCAAATCCAACCAAAGCTTGTGCATCTCACCCACGCTCGGCGGCCTGTTTTGTCGTGTTTTGTCGTGTCTGCTTGTGCGTGTGCGTTTGTACACATCAGACTTTGGCGAGATTCTGGTGTGGGTTGGCATCTACATCGCCTCGTTCTCTGTGCTCAGCGGGTGGCAGCACGTCGCTGTTGCGTCGCCGCTGTTCACGGTCTGGCTCCTCACCTCTGTCAGCGGCATTCCCATCTTGGAGCGCATGGCCAACAAGCGCTGGGGCGCGCTGCCCGAATACGTGGCCTACCGCGACAGCACCGCCGTCCTCATCCCCTTTGTCTGGTGATGTGAACTGATGTGTGTGTGTGTGTGCGCGCGTGTGTGCGCGTGTGCATGTGTGCGTGTGTATGTGTGTGCATGTGTGCGCATGTGTGCATGTACATGTGTTTGCATGTGTGTGTGTGTATGTGTGCGCATGTGCGCGTGTGCATGGACATGTGTGTGCATGTGTGTGTGTATGTGTGCGCGTGTGGAGTTCTTCACCTTCGCGCCATCGCGGTGCCGACAATTGGCGGAAGTCTTCAATTAAATTTCAGTAACCGCCACCACTGAACCAAACAACAACGATGATGGTGAACGCTTCCTCCTCTTCAACCACAACAAAACAAAAGCCGCAGCCACTGACGCGGCGGCGGTCGTCAAGAAAGCCGAAGCCGCACCGCTTGCCACATACGGCAGCAAGCCTCTTCTATGGCACACAGCCAGACCAGATTGTGCGCTGCAGGTGTGTGTTTGTGTGCGTGGGCATGTTTGTGTTCGTATGTGCAAGTGCACACGTACATGTAGATGTGTGTGTGTGTAAATGTGTCTGTGTGTGTGTGTGTGACAGCAGTTATGCACGACAAAGGACCCCTGTTCAGCACGCACGTACACTCACACACGCACACTCACACATACACATACACTCACACACACATACACACACATACTCACTCACTCTTCCATTTCCTGCAGGCGCAAGCTCCATCGGATCCATGCAGAACCAAACATCTTCTTTGTGGAGGACTTCTTGACCAGGCACGAGGTGGAGCATTTGTCGTCGTTTGTCAAGGGCATGCGGCTGCAACGATCGTTCACAGAGTCGGAGCTTGGATCGCAAGTCATCTCCCAGGAACGTACCTCCACCTTCATGTGGCTGTCCAAGGGCGAAGACGAGGTGTGCTTCTTCACTGATTCTGCTCCACTTTGACCTCGGCGTTGTACCTTTCTCGCTGTTGACGCTAACGCTGGCACTTGATCTCTACGTAGTATAACGCTGCCTTGTATTGCTCACTTTCGCCTCATCCGCAATACTTTTGCCTTTGTGCACAGATTATTCGACGCATCGAGCGGCGTGCTGCGGAGATGACTGGCCTCACGCAGTCCTGCATTGAACCGTTCCAAATTGTCTCCTACAAACACGGTGCGCGCGCGTGTGTTTGTGTTTGTGTTTGTGTGTGTGTTTGTGTGTGTGTGTGTGTGTTTGTGTGTGTGTGTGTGTGCGTGTGTGTATGTGCGTGTGTGTGTGCAAGTATG